CTCAGGCAATCCACTCACCTCAGCCTCCCAAAGGCATGGGATTACATGCTGAGCCACCGAACCCGGCTGAGATCACTCAGTATTATAGACTCTAGTTCCATCCAGATTGCTGTGAAATTCATGATTTTGTTCTTTTTTATGGCTGCATAGTATTCCATTGTGTATATGTACCACATTTTAAAAATCCAGTCCTCTTTTGATGGACAGCATGGTTGGTTCCAGGTTCTTATAAAAATACTTTCTGCTGGGCGCAGTGGCTCAGCCTGTAATCCCAGCACTTTGGGAGGCCGAGGTGAGAGAATTGCCTGAGCCTGCGAGTTCGAGACCCACTGGGGCAACTTGGTGAGACCTTGTCTCTACAATAAATCAAAAACTAACCGGCCGTGGTAGCGCGTGCCTGTAGTTCTGGCTACTTGGAAGACTGAGGTGGAAAGATCGCTGGAGCCCAGCAGGTTGAGGCTGCGGTGACTGGAAGCGTGCCACTGCACTCCAGGCTGGGCTACAGAGTGAGACTCCAACTCAAAAAAAAACAACAACAACTTTGTTTTCTATGAAATAGAATTGGTGTTTTTTTGTTTGTTTGTTTTAGTTGCAGTCTTTCTTGTCGTCCAGGCTGGAGGGCAGTGGCACACTCACAGCCACCGCAGCCTCGACCCACTGGGCTCAGGCGATCCTTCTGCCTCAGCCTCCCAAGTAGCTGGAACTACAGACGCCTGCCACCACACCCGGCTAGTCTTTGTGATTTATTGTAGAAACGAGGTCTCCCCAAGTTGCCCAGGCTGGTCTAGAACCCCCAGGCTCAGGCAATCCTCTCGCCTCGGCCTTCCAAATTGCTAGGATTACAGGCTGAGCCACTGCGCCTGCCCTAGAATTGGTTTTATTGATCATCTTTTGGTTGGGAAAATGTCAGCCCTGGTTTGTATGACTTAAATGGGAGGAAATGTCTGCTGGACAAATTTTCAAACCTTCTTGCAGAAAACTTGGAAAAACACCAAAGCAGAAGTTTGAAAATAATAATCATTTATAAGTCCACTACCTAGTGATAATAGTTTGGTGTGCTTCTACCTAGACCATCTTTAAGCACCATCTCAGTTGCAGAAACTGTTTCTAGTTCTGTTGTTTTTTGATCTCCTAGGCCTAGAATCCAGTAGATCTTGCTAAACTCCACCTAGGCACTAGGATGCCATAGTACAAAAAAGAAAAGGAAAACAACTGTTGGTGAGAATGTGGAGAAATTGGAACCCTTGTACATTTCTTGTGGGGATGTAAAATGCATCAACCACTGTGGAAAACATCTTGGCAGTTGCTCAAAAAATTAAACATAGAAGTACCATATGACTCAGCAATTCCACTTCTAGGTATATACCCCCCTATTTGAAAACAAGTACTCAAATACATGCACATGCATGTTCATAGCAGCATGATTTCACAATAGCCAAAAGGGGGAAACAACCCAAATGTCCATCAACCGATCAGTTGCCAAATAAATTGTGGTATAAACTTACAGTGAAAAATTATTCAGCTATAACAAGGAATGAAGTACTGATACACGCTACACTTTGGATAAACCTTGAAAACACTATGCTAAGTGAAAGGATCCAGACACAAAAGGTCACATATTGCATGATATCATTTATGTAAAATATCCAGAATAGGTAAATCTAGAGACAGAACACAGATTGCTTAGGGACTGGGGAGGAGGGAAATAGGAAGTAATTGCTTAATAGCTATCAGGTCTCCTTTAGAAGTGGTGAAACTTTTGGAGATAGAGAGATGTGATGATCGCACAACACTGTGAATGTTCTAAAGGCCACTGAATTATTCACTTTAAAATGGTTAATTATATGTTGTGTGCATTTCCCAATTCAAAAAAAATCCAGCCAGGCGCAGTGGCTCAAGCCTGTAATCCCAGCACTTTGGGTGGCTGAGGCGAGAGAATTGCCTGAGCCCAGGTGTTCGAGACCAGCCTGGGCAACTTGGAGAGGCCTCATCTCTACAATAAATCAAAATATTAGCCAGGCGTGGTGGCGCGTGCCTACAGTTCCAGCTACTTGGAAGGCTGACGTGGAAGAATCACCTAAGCCCAGAAGGTCAACCCTGCGGTGACCGTGAGCGTGCCACTGCACTCCAGTCTATACGACAGAGTGAGACTCCAACTCCAAAAAAAAAAAAGATCAGTCAGACGTGGTAATGCGCTCCTGTAGTTCCAGCTACTTGGGAGGCTGAAGCAGAAGGATCGCCTGAGGCCAGCAGGTAGAGGCTGCGGTGGCCGTGAGAGTGAGACTCCAACTCAGGAAAAAAAAAATCCACCTAGGCTCAAAGTTTTGGCTAGGCTGCTAGCCCTTTAAGGGTCTCTCAGATGGAGGGGCGGGGCTAGAGAGGCTGACCTGTGAGGATCACGTGAGGCAGCGCCTGCGCAGAAGCGTCACGTGGTGGCGGGGCCGGGGAAATGGCGGCTTCAGGAGAGAGCGGGACTTCGGGCGGCGGAGGCAGCACAGAGGAGGCGTTTATGACCTTCTACAGTGAGGTGAACACAGAGTGAGGAATAGAGGCACCGAGGCGGCACTGCCCGGGTCAACTTTCCCAGCGGGCGAAGGCAGTGGACGCCCGGCCTGGACCGTTGGCCGCCTCCTCCTGTCCGGCCCTCGGGGTGGCGGGAGTCTGGGGGTGTGTGCGTCTCCTGCTGATAGCTGCGGAAAGATTCCCTCCGGCTACGAAAAGGACTGGTGTCCCACCTCTGGAGGGAGGCGGCGAGTGTAGCCGACGCAGTGCCTGGGCGCGGGCAGAGTACCCCAAGTCCGCGGAGTCGGGAGCTGGCAGAGGGTGGGCCTTTCCTGGGAGTGTCTTAGCCATCTTGACCCCCATTTTTACTCTAAGCAGAAGCGTTCTCTTAGTCCTCTGTAATGAGTTGTGCTAGTGGTTATTTCTGTCATTCACCAACGCCAGGCACTGCGCATCATGCCTGGTAGGCTATTATATTACCTCTATTTTACAGGTGACGAACCTGAGGTTTAGGGTGGTGAAATAGTTTGGGTCTTATAGTAGGTGACAGCTTGATCTTATGCTAGCACAGGAGTAAGCCTGGTCTAAGCCTCATTTACTATTGCGTCTCCAGAGTCTAGTATGTAGGAGATGATAAATAAATAT